GCGCAACACTACCTCACTGTAGCGGTGCTGCATTGCTGCAAGTCGCGACCATGCCTTACAGAAGCGCCCCTACAGCTTCATGACGTTGCTTTGCAGTAGTGCTACGAATGGTAGCGTCCAGTGCTTCCTCGAATGGTAGCTTCGCGATACTGCCTTACAGTAGCGTTATCCAGAAGTGCCTGAGATGGTGCACTAAAGAGAAAATGGGGTAAATTAGAGTTTGGGGTAAGGATTTGGGGGTGGGAGCCTCTAGTGCAATTTTTGAAATTACAAGTTCCGCTTATAATTTCAAATTGAGGGTCAGTTTGCAAATGTTGGTGGTTGTGGTAAAGATCGTTTTTGTTGTTGTTGGCGATGGATAGCGGTGTGAGTGGCTGAATGATGTGTGAGTTGCTGGTCGAGAGGTTGCAAGCGAGAGAATAGACACAGTTGCCGATAATAGGCTAGATGAAGAGTTGATGCTTGTCAGGAGAGACGGAGATGACGGTGTTTTTGGTTGTTGTGGATCAATCAACGGTGTAGATGAATAAAGTGCTGGATCGGTGGAGCTCTTATCCTTGGGATTCTCTACCGACGGAGTCTATTTAATTTTTGAAATTAAACAAGCTCACCCACTTCCTAGAAACAGCATCAAGGTCGAGATGATGATGGTTGTCGGTGTAAGGATGACTGGATTGATGTGGTGGTGGTGGTGGAGGTGTAGTCAGCTCCGCTGCAGAGTAAGAAGGCTACAACCGGAGTTGGTGGTGTCGGCAAACCTTTTCTGTTCTATGACCAGATCGAGATTTGACTACCGGGTAGTTTGTTGTGACCGATTGTGACTGGATAATTGTGACTCGTTGTGACCAATTATGACTTGATTGTGACTTGAAATTCTGGAAATTTTTTTAAAGTTGGGAATGGGTGGATAGGGTGGGTAGGTTGATCGGAGCATGCGTTAGAATGGTCATTGGAGCAGTTTGCTAGAGGGATCGTGAATAGCCGTCGGAGATAGCGTCGGGTTGATTGTCGAAATAGTCGCCGGAGCGGTTGTCGGAATTGTCACCGGAGCGGCCGTCGGAGCTGCCGCCGGAGCGGCTGTCGAAGTAGATGGCCGCCTCCGATGGAGAGAAGGGGTAGGAAGAGGATAGAGAGTAGAGAGAGAGAGAATGATTTGGATTTGAAATTTAATAAATTGGGATAATTGTATTATATTATAATTAAAAATATTTATTTAACTAATTTAACACCTGATTTTTGAAAAGATATTTGAAGTTTGTTATTTTTGAAATGTAATTCTTATATATAGGATTTATGTATTGTTCTCTTAAATATATAGACAAAGATAACATTGGGCTGTAATTTAGAAAATAGGCCTATTTGCTTGGATATTATATATATGGGAAAATTTCATAAGTAAGAAGATAACTATTGCCCATTTCAAAACTAAGAAAACATGTTTCAAATTTCAAAAATCATATTTTTATTAAAATTTATTTATGATTTAATTAATTAAATATATTAAAGTCACATATTTATACAATAAGGTCACAGATTCACAATTTAATTAGTCACATATTATTTTTCAGTCACAAATCGTAATTTTTATACGTCACAATTATTTTAAGGTCACTGTTCAGTTTGTTTATCAGTCACAAATTAATTCGAGATCACAAATTAATAATTTTATAGGTTACAAATCATTTTATGGGTCATAGATCAAAAAATTACAGGTCACAATTATCTATCAATCACATTTTTTTAAATTTATTGGTCACAGATTAATTTTTAGTCACAAATTGTCGAATTTTAAGATCACAGTTAGTTCAAATAACTGGTCACATACACCAAACATCCCACCACCAATTTTGGTCATGAATCACCACCAAACAACCGCCGCCGCCACCACCTCTAACAAATCAACGGAAAAACACCAACGCAAGGTCCATACCAAATCCATCAACACACATCCACATCGACAGACCCATCACCACCAACATCTCACATCACCCATTGCCACGACTGTCATCGCCACTACCGACCACCGCACAGTTCGAATGAAAAACCAAAAAACCTCCCAAAATTCAACCACTAGATTGGCACCCATGGCATTTCCACACACAAACCACTCCCCACAAGAACCACCATCACCGACCACTGCACAATAGATCGCATAAAAAAACAAAAAAAAGTATAGATTCTGGCAGATTGGCATTGCAGATTTGATCACCAACATATCGCTGACACCCACTGCCACAAGCACCACCGTCGACCGTCACTGCCACCGCCGACCGTCACCCACTGCCACAAGCACCACCGCACAGTATGAATCAAAATACCAAAACACTCCCAAAATTTAACCACTAGATTGGCACCCATGATATTCCCACACACAAACCACTCGCCACAAGAACCACCACCGGACCACTACACAGTAAATCGCATAAAAAACAAAAAAAATAGATTCTGGCAGATCGGCTTTGTAGATTTGACCACCGTACAGATCGGTGCTGTAAGCGACGCTTCAATGAGCGCCGTCTTTGCTTACAGCGACGAGCTCCGCTGTGGTCTTCGTGATTGCCGACGGCGACGGGTTGAGAGAGAGAGAGATGGGAACGGTGGGTTAGATCGAGGAAATGGGACGGGTTGATGGAGAGAGATGGGGATGGTGGGTTAGAGAGAGGAAATGAGAAATTAATTAAGTTTGGTGAAATTTGTATTATAATATTAAATATTAAATATCTGATTTTTGAACAATGAAACCTTCCATCTGATTTTAGAACTAGGATCTTTAATAGTATGGTTTGGTGTAATTTCCTC